TGGTTCGAAGTTATTATATCAACGATGTTCCGAACATTCCTTAAATTCGTTGAAAACTCTAAAGAATAATTTTCGATAAACCTGATCCATTGTTAATATTTTTATTATTGAAACCAATGGCGATTCGTTTGAAAGAGGTTCCTTTCTCCTTTTGCGAAATCGATTTGATTCAATGATTTTTATCGGTGTCGTGACTTATCGTTTGAAACTTCGTTGTATGTAAATGTTGACTGAGATTGGAATGGGAAGAGAAGCCGAAAACTGTATGATATAACCAGTTAAGGGGCCAACATTCGGGCCACAGTGAGTGCTGGTCAGGCAATAACTGCTTGTTGCACGCGCGTCTTGCTTCCACTTTATCTCTTCACCCTTAACCAACGTTACGCTTTTCAGTCTTTGCCATCATCTCGTCAAACATTAACTTCTTTCGAAAACGCAAATGATTGCTTAATTAATATTAATCGTCTCAGAGGGAACTCACAAATGTTAGCCATTTCATTATTTACACTTTGACTAACACTTTCTAATTAGTATAAATAACTACAAAATTTATATAGACTTTGATTTATATCAAAGTTAGAAGGTGCGTTAGCAGGTTGCATTCTCTCGATAGTCAAGCACTAATAAAGATCGCAAGAATTCAGTGCATTCGACGTGAGAAAGAATGCAGATGTTTAAAAGTCGGGTTTGCGAAACGACCACGCGTCAATTTATTAATTGCATTTTATTGCGACCACAATATCCTATATACGTCATCGAGAAAGGGGTAATTTTAGTTCACGTCATATCGGTGTATTATGCTACCCTCGAACGAAGCGGAGAGTGCAATTCTATCGATGCATTTCGAGCGTGCACGGGATATTAAATGGATCACGCGACGGAAAAATAAATAAACGCTTCTTGAATCGTCGTTCAACGTGTATTTGCTTTGCATAGGTTTCGCAGCCTCGGTGCTCCATTCGGTTCAAACTGAAATCAGGATGTTCAAGAATGCTCTAGGAATTGTTTAATTAAATTTTCTGCATTTTAAATTCCTGCACTCAAACGCTACAAAAGTGGCGGATGTAGACCGTATGTACTGTGTGGAGTTTTGCACGTACATTCTTCGAACCGAAAGAGTTAATACCCTTGGTTCGCGATATTTCTAGCGCGCTTCTTTATAGCCCCGAACAATAACAGTTGCGCAGCTTAATGGATCGTTTCGGACCGTTTTTCGTTTATTATTTCGCGGCCACGATTACGGATGTCAACGTGGACAACGTGGCTATAAGTAATCACGGTGACTGGTCGATCGTTGGTAGCCTCGAGTCATTCTATTACTTTGTGATTCTCGCGAGAAATAACGCGCGTACTCGATGCGTCTCGCCGCGTGCAATTTCGTGCGATCAGCTTTTATCTCGAGACCCACGCCACGCAGTTTCTTGCCGGGCAAACCTGGAACAAAGTGGAAGTCGAACTGGTCGGAGGAAGTGGCCATTTAGCTGTCTTAATAAATTGAAAAGTCACCGTGCGCGCACGGTTGTCCGAGAAACCGTGTATTCGATCGTGTCAAGTTTCACCGTACAGGTTTTGTAACACCGAGCGAATTAAAGGTACAATAGAAGTCTTATTAACGAAGCTAATCGAGCAGCATTCTCTTTTCGATTTTATAAAATAGACGCTTCGGATGCGGTAACGTACAGAAGATGCAATAATAATCTATTATGAGACGGTTCAATGAACCATAAGTGTGGTACAAACAATCGTAAAATTGTAGCTGCGAGATTACGTTAGCGGTTTTTCTTCCGTTATCGCTAGGTGCAACGGTGTAACGGATATTGCACCGTCGGCGGCGTGACGGCCTGAAGCCACGTGGCTCCGATTTTCATTGTTACGCGCGTCGCGAATCCGACCGCGGATAAACGTCGCAACGAATCGACGTCCGTCTAATAGTGTCGTTCGAAAAACTCCGAGACCGTGAATCGAATGTACAGCGTACCGGAAAACAATGCTAATTCTTCAAAATCGACACTCCTACTTATTTACCTTTCCATGTCAAGCAACGAAAGTAGCAATCGTGACCCGCAAAGAAACTCGCGTAATTCGTCGAGGAAATTATGAAACATCTTTTGAAAGTCTGACGATCGAAGAATTTATTGCTAATAAATAAAATAGTTTCTATTTTTATCATATGTTCGACGAATTCGAGGAAGATCATCAGCGACCGCGGATTAGCAACAATGGGAAATTTACATGCGTTATATCACCGTATAATTCCTATACCGGTGTAACTTGTACGGTCTAAAACATGTCTGTTTGTCTAAAGTAGCAGGTAGAAAATACATCCGCAAGGAATGTTATTCACCGCGACGAATCAACCAGTTCTTTTGTATCTGTTGCGTTCGTAATCATGACACGCGATAGAAGTTCGAGCACAAACCCGTGCAACCGGTCAATGAAATTGTTGGACGTCTTCCTTGCACACGCCAGGGAATCGTTAAAAAGTCGGCTCGAACACTTCCGACGCATCCTCTTACTTACAACTTACAATTAGAAGAAGAGAGCGTACGTGTTCGCTTTCGCGGTGCGCACGCGATATTAGCTTGGCGCCAGCTGGATCGTTCGCACCGAGTCTCGTTACACGAGCAACGGGGAAAACATATTTTCCTGCGCTATTACGAGCCCGTACGAGGAATTACGATTGGTGCATGTGTATCGCGTAAATTGAACAAATATCGGGTTAATTAACTTCGGTGCAAGCGCTGTAGCACCCGTGAAACGGATTGGACAGATCTTGTTGTTTCTTTATCCGTGATGTATTTATTAAAATATTGTTGTGTCTGAGAATAATACATTAATTCCGGCAAATTACTACGGCGTGTTTGTGATCGAAGGTGCTTTTAAATATTGGAAGCTTAAAAGGTACGAATGTATTTCCTTTTAACGAGTAGTAAATTGCTATGTTGATAATTGCATTTGAACTATTGACCATTCTTATCAAAGTATCGTAATTCTTCTGTGACAGAAGTAGGGATATTAGATAAGAGGCTAATTGTTAATTCAATATTTGTCATTGCATAGATGCTGCGATAAAAGAGCTTCCTTTGCTTCAGTTTCCAGCATTGCTCGCAAAATAGATAGGATGAATACGTAATATTATGAATAAATTTGTGAGGCTACATCATAGCTTTAGAATGATTAATTTGAGAGACTCGGTTTTGTCGAACAAAACTTGAACACCACGGTATTAAAGTCATCTGAACGTTTATGTTGTTAGAGCTTCATACGCGATACGATTGATGTCCCTTTAATGCGTTCATACGTACTCGCAAATGACACAATAACGCATTGCAATCTCGAAGCCTACCAGCACTGGTAGCAAAAAAGCCAACTAAAACAAGAAAAAATCCGACGTGTCCCGAAAAAGAAAGGGGTCACGAGTGACAGGCAAAAACTCTTCCCTTTTCCGAACCGCCTGTCAGGGATGCGTCTCCGTGCACCGGCTGCTCGTGCAACGTGAATGATGCGCATAGCGACGGGCTATGAAGCGTTTCGAATTCATCAAAAAACATATATGTGTACATACGCAGCAATGCTGATTGCAATTTTAAATTTCTATCGTATATTTCGATTTGCAAAATCATCGATTCATGATTTCTAAGATGGTCACTTTCCACATTGATAAGACTTGGCTCCGAATTTCGGGACTTTCAAGAATTTCGAAGGCTTTGAAAAATTTGAAAGACCGAAAGCCGGAATAAAATTCGAATAGTGCGAGAAGTTGTAAGAGGGAGTAATACCGAGGAGTGCGGTGGTGCATCGTGCGCGAACACGTGCGTGGCGGCGCGTGTGCGTGCACATACAGGCGCCAAGGGATGCATGCGTCCGAACCTCCGCCTCCTTCCTCCACACGGATGCCACCACCACCCTGCGGACCTATCTTTTAAATATTGGAAGCTTAAAAGGTACGAATGTATTTCCTTTTAACGAGTAGTAAATTGCTATGTTGATAATTGCATTTGAACTATTGACCATTCTTATCAAAGTATCGTAATTCTTCTGTGACAGAAGTAGGGATATTAGATAAGAGGCTAATTGTTAATTCAATATTTGTCATTGCATAGATGCTGCGATAAAAGAGCTTCCTTTGCTTCAGTTTCCAGCATTGCTCGCAAAATAGATAGGATGAATACGTAATATTATGAATAAATTTGTGAGGCTACATCATAGCTTTAGAATGATTAATTTGAGAGACTCGGTTTTGTCGAACAAAACTTGAACACCACGGTATTAAAGTCATCTGAACGTTTATGTTGTTAGAGCTTCATACGCGATACGATTGATGTCCCTTTAATGCGTTCATACGTACTCGCAAATGACACAATAACGCATTGCAATCTCGAAGCCTACCAGCACTGGTAGCAAAAAAGCCAACTAAAACAAGAAAAAATCCGACGTGTCCCGAAAAAGAAAGGGGTCACGAGTGACAGGCAAAAACTCTTCCCTTTTCCGAACCGCCTGTCAGGGATGCGTCTCCGTGCACCGGCTGCTCGTGCAACGTGAATGATGCGCATAGCGACGGGCTATGAAGCGTTTCGAATTCATCAAAAAACATATATGTGTACATACGCAGCAATGCTGATTGCAATTTTAAATTTCTATCGTATATTTCGATTTGCAAAATCATCGATTCATGATTTCTAAGATGGTCACTTTCCACATTGATAAGACTTGGCTCCGAATTTCGGGACTTTCAAGAATTTCGAAGGCTTTGAAAAATTTGAAAGACCGAAAGCCGGAATAAAATTCGAATAGTGCGAGAAGTTGTAAGAGGGAGTAATACCGAGGAGTGCGGTGGTGCATCGTGCGCGAACACGTGCGTGGCGGCGCGTGTGCGTGCACATACAGGCGCCAAGGGATGCATGCGTCCGAACCTCCGCCTCCTTCCTCCACACGGATGCCACCACCACCCTGCGGACCTATATATTTCCCGGAGGGTCTCCCACTTTCGCCACTATCATTCCTGTCGCGGCTGCGCCAGCCCGTGTGACCGCGCAAACGTGAGTCTGCTCTTCGGCTTTTCTCTCCTCGGAGTTTCCTCGGCGGCCGGTTATTCGCGTACACCTGTCCGCTCATTTTCTTCCCGCGAATTTCTTATCGGGACAACGACCGATACGCGAGATCGGAACCAGTTCCTCTTGGTGCAATTTTTTGGGAACCGTTCGCGACTTCGACGTTTCATCGAAGACCGAAGAAATCGAGTTGTTCGTACCGGTTTGGTGCTTTTTCTTTGTACGCTTTATCGAGAGAAAAAGCAGAGTTTCAGATTGATCGTGCAATTTCTTTATCGCGGCTGATTCGTGTTTTGACTCGGGATATGTGTACCACGTGTGGTGAGCCCGCGAATCCACCTGCTGCTCCTACTGAATGGGATTAGATGAGGCACGACGGTACGTCAAAGTGTTTGCGTTAATTTAACGTTCGTTTTAGTCGGTGGAATGATTTTGTAAGAGGTACGAGATCTGTGTTTACGCATTACGTTCATCAGTAGACACGTGAGACATAGTAATAAAACTGTTTGCACTAAGTGTTGGTGGCACTGAAAGATTCATCTGTTCGATGTGTATTTTTACATTGCTAACGTAACAATCAAATGCACAATATATATGTAACACAGATCTACAGTAATATCGTAGAAAAAAAATTTAATACTATGATATAAATACAAAATCATTGTACCACAGGTTTTGTATCGATCGATTTTGATTTGCAGAAGATTAATCGTCATGGCGATCGATTTAATTGATCGAAACTATCAATATCGATAATCGATAGTTAACTACTAGTTCTAAATTTAAACTCCTGTTCGATAGTTATCAGTTTCACGAAGAAAAGAACTGAAATCGTTAGTCATTAATCTAACTGAACTAATTTAATTGTCAACCCAATCTATTATGTACTAATTTAACCAATTACAGATCGATTAAGTTAGAAATTTAATTGCCAATTACGACTGATAAATACTTCAATTACAGCATAATACAAGTATAACCCTGTACGGTTAATTTTAGCAGTGAAGCGGGAAACAAAAGTAGTTCATTAATAACAGGAACGATTAACATTAATTTGCAGTTTGTGAATACGTTTTTTAAATTCCGAAGTATTCTTATGTAAACGACGTGCAATTATCTAAGCAAGTGTGAATCCAAGGTTTCAACGCGAACAAAGAACATTTCTTTATCAGAGGAATCGTAACGATACGACAGAAGTGTTCGAGAAGAGACCGTAAACGGGTTCGAAATTAATTCGGAGACGAACCGTGAATGGGCCGCGGCAAATTTACAACTGATTTTCCAGCAATTTATCGTGGGTCCACGCGTTTCTGTACCGCGACAGAACGTGAGACAAGGCGCATTCTTCACAGCTGTTCATACAACTAAAGGCACACGATGTCGTGCACAAGAAACCGTGAATAACAGACGCCTCTTTATACGACCGTTCGCCAAGTAGCGACTTAATATATCGTCCTGTAAATTACCATCTCGCGACTTTTATTCTCGCGCCCTTCTAGCTTTCAATTTTTTCCCCCATTTTCCAGCTCGATTCCTGATGCGTCTACAGACCGCAATTTATACCGCAAAGATGTTTTGATCGATGACGCGTTTTTTTATCTCATCATGGGATTATGACCCTTTCAAACAGCACAGCTTCCTTAAGTTCGAGTTTTAATTAATCAGACAAGAAAGGGAACGCTTATTGCAATTAGTATTTTTAAGGAATATCTACATACGCGTCAGCAATGGAACCAAAAGGAAGCAAAGTTCATGAACTAGTCGAATAATCCAACACCTCGGATAGGGCGACAAGGTTTTATTACACAACGAGAAAAGCTAAAACTTGGGAAGGTCTTAAGGCGATCAACTCTAACCGGTCTAAAGGCGTCCGCGGTTTCCGTGCACGGAACACCGTGATTTGTGTTGCATCGCGTCCTTCTTACGCTCTATATCATTCAACTGGTAAATGAGCTTTGCCTTTAACGTATCGCGACGTTTCTCATGCGCAGGATGGCCTGAGCCTCGGAGCAAGTCTTCATGGATCGTTCACGAAAATCGAGAAATGACCGGAGTCCCGCAGAACTTCCGTGGCGCCGCCGATGTTCGCCACGTCGCGGCAACATGACGGTCAAGAATTTCGGGTAAGTTCGCGTATCGATCATTTGGTCGTTGATATTTTTATTACCCGCCGCTACGTCGCTACTTACCACGGCGTTAACTAACTTAACTAGCTGGGTGTCTATCATCCTCGAATAACTCTATTTCTCTCTACACAACTTCACCACCTTGTAATGTAACACAGTTCAATTTTTGTAGATCATGTTCTTCGTCGATATAATTTTTTTAATGAAAGTTGACACGTTAATGTTATGTTTGAAATAACACGTAAAGTTTCGCACGTAAGTTTCCTATATCAAGTCTCATCACACCAGCATGATAAAAAGATTGCTATGTAAATTAAAGGTTAATAAGAGACACTACTAAAGAAAAATTTAGAAAATAAAAGCTCCGCTTTGTGGAGCTTATTATACTATAGATCGTTCAGATTACTTTTTTAAAACATTTACACCGTACGTCAACGTTATTTAAACACGGAGCGCAAACGAGCTCGAACGTGCGTAAACGCGTTACCGATGCTCGTTTTGTTTAAAAATTTCATCCGATATCGCCCCAGGAACTTAAAACCGAAAAGCGTTTGATCGACAACGAAATACAGGGAACAGAACGGGCAGCAGTATATTGTGCAGTTTATAAATCGATGAAATATTGTACACAATCGTTAAAATACTCGATATGCGGTGATTAGAAGTCGATCTTTACGGCGCTATTCTGCTTTCTTTGGCTACGAAAAATGACTCGATTTTATGACCTCGCTCGTTAAGGACCATTCGATGATGACGTCTGCTTCCGTCGACAAAAATTCATATTTCTGTGTCCCTTCGGAGGAACAAGCTAGATCGGCAAAAAGTTAAAGGGTAAAAAATGAAAGAGGAATTTGTAAGCGATTTGTGTCGAAGATTCTGTAACCGCGAACATGTGGTTCGGAAACAAGGAGAAAAAATAACGATGACGATAAAAAAAAAGTGGCAGAATGGTCCGAAATACGATCGTCCCTCGATAACTCGTCATTTTAACGAGAATATCTCTTTCCCTCGTGCCGTACCGTAGATACAGGCAGTTTATTTTAATACAGACACCTCGTAATAATTCTCGATGTACATCGTACCGAATGAACGGACATCAATCCTTGCCCTCGTTACTTTCGATGCTTCAGGCAGAGGGTCCCTTGTTATCCGTGCAGTCTCCTTTGTACAGCGTATGCATGCCAATGTCCGCGCATAATTACCGGTTTCGATTACCGATTGACCAACAAGTGAGCCAGATTTTCCGCGTGTACCGGGAAACGTTTATCTCGTGATATCGTCCGATGAAACCTCTTTTTTATTATACCCACCTTTGACGAAGACAGTTCGTTTCGTTTATCGATACAAGTTAGACACGAAGAAAAATTGAGCCTGATGTAAACTGTATTAAAATTTCATCTCTGCAAAAATGCATCGTACATTATTCTGCATATTCGGCATTATACATGATCAAATAAAAAATTCTTTTGATCTGCGTATAAAGGTAAATATTCATTTCAAACTCTGCATGGAAAAACGTAATAAATTCCTCGGAAGAGAAGAGAATGGTCTAAAAGTTCGTACAATGGATCAACGGTAAAAAATTCGCGGACAATTCTAAAAATCTCGTGCCGTGCGAATTAATATTCGTTCATAACTGGTCCCTCTATTAATTTTTCACTATTTTTGCAAACGAATTTCTGTTAAACAATTCCTACGTTCCAAGAATTGTACTATACACGTCTCTCATATTATAATCAAGAACAATGGGTTCAGGTAAAACTTCGTTTACATCAACATGGGAGCATTATACAATAAAAATAAAATAAAATTTTCCGCTTTAGCACGATCGTGTACAAATTTCGCCAGCCTATCGAAAGGGATTAATACGAATAACGCGATTTTGCAGCCATCAAAGAATAAAATTCACGATTACACAAAGAGTCGAGAGCCGCCTCTTCTGTCTGATAACCGTGAAAGTAACTCGTGCATCACGACCTGTGACATTAATCCTCCGTGCAGGGGTAGATACGGTCCGAAAAAGGAAGAAAAAAGAAGGAAGAAAGCACGCGAACAATAAGCAATCTGTAACGGACATGTAACAGTAATTATGTTGAGTCTAGACGCGCGCGTACGATTATACATACATGTACCCCATGCATGGATTACACGCGGTGTACATTACGCATGGCATGTGATCGAGTTTCTTCGAGTTGGTGCGCGTAGCTCGTTCGCTCGTGACAATACGGGGTGACGCGAAAATACGAGTGGCTAAGAAATCGGGAAAGTTCCGCTTCGTTCTGAAAACTTTTCGTCACGGACAGTTGTCGATCATTACGCTCGTTTATCATTTTCTCGAAGAAACTTCTCGATCTTGATGACTTTCAGGGGGCTTTACATTCGACGATTGGACATAACTTTTGATGAGGAAACTTCGGAGACAATTTGGTTTTTTCCCTTTATATTGTTTCGTTGAGCTTAATTTTTAAGTTTCCGGGAGATGCTAAAGGGATATCGAGATTTTTGTTCTTATAACGACTGGAACACAAATTTTGAATTGCTCGCAAATGTTCAGCGCGAACGAAAGTTTGTACAAGTCGTTATAAAGTTCTCGGTGCCGTGTTTTGGACCGACTGTTAATGTCCTCGTGTCCAAGGCACGGGCCTTACTGATGCTTCCACCAGCAGACCCAGACTCAACATGAAACACACTTTATCCCTTCTTTCATTCATCTTCCCTCACTCTCTTCCACGCAACACGACCACTACGCTTCCTTCCTCTTCCCTCGTCGCCGAACGAGGCCCCTTCTTCCTTACCTCCTCTTCCAGGAGTACTGTTAATCGTTGTCGAACGACTGGTCGCTTCTTGATGACGTAGAACGATCGATCATACGGCAGTCAATGCGTTTCCGTTCGAAATTCGTGTTACGATATGCAGGAACGTTCAATGCGCGCTCGGTCTCTTCATTTTTTCCTTAGCTGACGATCGAGCAGAACTGTTTTTACGCGTTAATTAATCTGCTTTAAAAATACTTGCCGAGAAGCGGATGCAATGATAATAGCCAGTCATTGATTCGCGAGTCCAATGTTTGCACCGACTTTTTTAGTCGCAAGGAATCGAGATTACAGGAATTTTCAAGGAGGTAAAAAATAGGGATGTCGAAAGGATTTCGCTGTAGCGATTCGGGAGTCAATGAAACGCACCTTTGAGACCAAAGGGTATCGTTTAATTACGGATCAGCTGTTGCAATTGGGGCGTGCGTGTCTGCACGCGTGTACCGATCGATTTATTTTCAAGTATTACGAGTATCGAGAGGCTCGCACGCTAGCGATCCCATCTCTGCGCAGAAGATAGAATTGCCGCGAAAAGGCAGCAATAAACGCGGTCCACTCGTGTATGTATGTACAACGAGTACTATTCATAAGTCGGGTCGAGCCTAAAGGCCGTAAGTCCGTTGCTTCGAGCATGGCGCCTCGACCACCTCGTAATTCTCGTCGGGAGGCTTTTCTTTTCCGCCGTGGCTCACAATTAGGCTCATTATGTACGCACATGTTCGCTGCGTTTCCGTTGATTTGCACGCCACCTCTTTGGACCAAGTCGAATCTGACTTTTTCGCTTAGTTTCCATTCACTAAACGACTTTTAAGCGGTGTTGTATTTCTAACGAGACAAAGAAGCTTGCGGTTCTTCGTTTACCCGTGTTTAGTTAAAGAAGACGATGCGTCAACCAAGTTACAGTTCCGTATTGCTCGTCGACTCTGTTATCGAGCGTGGAGGTCCAACAATATCGACATCTTGTGTGTCCAATTCGCGAATGAAATATTTTTAAATCGCCTCTGCTCGAACGGCGCGAACGTCTTTCGACGGAGGGCTTCGTGACTCAGACCTTTTTTCGGCCTTCATAATTTATGCGCTATTGTGCGTGCCTTCCGCAATTCTATATTTAAACTCTTCCTTGAAAGGAAGATGACCTTTCGATTCAGCGAATTTAGTTCATTGAAAGTTTTATCAGACGGAAATTTCCAAGTTTCTAAATTACAAATTACCAGTGTGGGACTCTCTAACCTTTTCCTAAGTTCAGAGTTTAGATTCGCATTTCCACCCTTACTCTTTGCAAAGAAAGTCTGTAGCCGAGTGTCGGACATTGTATCGATATATTAAAACCTCTACGAACATCCTATATAATGACAGTAATAACGATCTAAGTGTCTATTAGGAAACAGTGACCCGTAACGTTCACGGAAGGCGTGGCAGCAAATGTTATTGTCTAAATCGAATGACGACCCCCAAGTTGATTGAACAACTAGTTAGAAGAGAACATAGGTATCGTGCGCGGCATAGACTGAATTCCAAACGAATGAACGAGCGAACGAACCAAGCGGGCGGTCTTGGCAGATGATCATCCGAATGCATCTTTAATTCCACGCACTTATCACGAAATCAATTTAAACGTTGTCCGTCGGTTCGTATATGGCGAGGGGCAGCTTTGTCCATGCCGATGTGGATCGAGCATCGTCCGTTCTGTGTTGGCCTTTCTCGTTTCGTGCCGCTTGGAATAGCGTCGTCCAACGCATAAAGGCCATTGTTGCAGGAAAGGGACGACGACACGCGAACGAACGAAACGCAATGTTTCTCCTACGGCTCATTCAGCATGCAGTTGCCGAGGTTATCGCGCTCCACGGACGTTGATAGAATACGCATCGTTGAAGGGGTTGCGATGCAGTGCCAGGGCGTCCCCGTGGCTGTCAACGCGTCTCGAAACCATCAACGTCCTCGCAGCGGGACTCAACGTGCGAATCATCGGACCTTTCGACGCCCTTACGACGCGTCGATATACCTGACTCGAACTTTTTGCGATTTCGAGGGACGAGAACTGCTACGTGATCGGCCAATTTCGAAAGGATGCGGTTCTCGGTAATTCTTTTGTCAGGAAAGTCCTATACAGGGTGGTGCAACTTATCGTACGTGTAGATTGTTGCAACGTCATGCGCGAGAAATGACGGGAGAACTCTGCATCCG